GACCACTGATTAAATGACATAGGACCAAGTAGTGCCCCTCACTCAGTACATGCAGTGGTTGCAAGACGTACAAATGAGGTTTGCCATGTGGGCACAGTTCCTGTGTCCTGCAAAATGGGACAAGAAAAGAAAGAACAAAAGAATGAAACAAATAATAACCAAAAGAAGAAGAAAATAAATCATAAGATAAAGGTAAGCAAAATAACAGTGAGAGAATACCTAAAAAGAAAAAAAATAAAGGAAAATAAAAATAAGAGAAGAGAAAAAGAAAATCACAAAGAAAAAGGGTGGGAGGAAAGAAGAAAATAGTAAAGAGAAATATAGAAGGGAAAGAGAACAGAGAAACAGAACAGATGAAAGCAGAAAATGAAAGTACAGTCTGGGGGAGGGAAGAAAGGGAGAAGACACAAAGAGAGAAGAAGCCTGTGTTGGGACAAGGAGGAGGAGGAAAGTGTGGGGATGGGCAGCTTGTGTAGGTTGGCACCCTCTACCAGACAAGAAGGCCAAGCAAGAGGAGCAGGGAAAGGATGTGACATTGGGGCGTGCCAGTCTAGAAGGTGTCTGGAAGCAGGGTACCTGCCCAGGAAAGAGTTCTTTGGGACCCAGGGAGGTCCTGGGTGCAGGGCAGCTGGTTCTGGCAGGAACTTTCACATGGCCAAGTGCCCAGCTGGCACTGTGTGTTCTACTGATCTGATGAGACACCCAGCACCCAATCAATCTATGAGGGCACGCCTCCTACCTCAGGAAGCAAGGTCATCGCAAGGTGTGGCTGGTGGGGTCACCGGCCTCGGAAGGGGGAGAGGGAGGGGGCTGCGGGGCAGGGAGTGGGCCATGCTCTGGTCACGACAAGGATGTGGGGAGCAGAGGGAGGGCCACGCCTTTCTGGTTGTCAGCCACTGGTGTTCACACTTACGCTGTCCAAGGGCAAGTGCTGAGCTGTCGGTGTGCTTTCCCAATCCAACGCCGCTTGCAAAAGTTCAAAACAGCCACGTTATAGCCAGCTGACAATCCACCTGCTCCAGTTGTCTCCTTGTAAGCTGCTTTGGCTCAGTTTCTTCTCCTAGTCAGTGTTTAATCCGCTTCCCTATTCTTTTCTCTGTAGCTCAGAGTTCCAAGATTATCTTCTGAATTGGTATTTATTTGATCTTTCAGGTCTTTTTGTACAGGGTCTGAGCCGAGTGCTGTCTTGTCAGCAGTTTCCGCTGCCGACTTTTTTCTGGACCTCTAAGTCTTCTCCCTTGTTGCTGTTGAGTTGATTCTGCTTGAAGACTCCGAGGGCTTTCTTGGCTGAAATGTTTATGGAAGCAGGTTGCCAGGACATGTTCCACAATACTGCTAGGTGGCTTTGAACTGCCGCGTGTTAAGTTAGAGATTTAGGGCAAATTATATAAATGCCTTCTGGGTTATTGAAGGACTAAAGGTCACATAGGGATGACATATCGTGTGTACCTCTTCTGGCTCTTCATCCCTAAACTCTTTCTCCGTCATCAAACCAGGCCAGGTCAGCACTCTCTTCTGTGGTGACGATGAGAAAGTGGGGAACCCTCAGAGATTACTGATGCTGACTAGACATGATGGAAGAGAGCTCCCCGCACACTTCGTACTGGCTTCATCTGGGTTGTGCCAGCCCAAGCACGTTACAAAGCACCTACATTTGAATTAGCTACTTCTTTTCTTTGTTGAACAGCTTTATTGGCATGTAATTCACATAACATACAGTTTAATAGTTCAATCGTATTAAAAGGAATTGTACAATCATCACCACAATCAATTTTAGAAATTTTTCTTCTTTCTTGTACTTATTGCTATCAGCTCCCCATTTCCCCCCAACCTCCCTTGCTGAGGTAGTTTATTGTGCCAGCCTGGCCAATAAACACATGTGGGGTTAATTGAAGGGCGGAGGGATAAATGGCTTGGTGAGCCTCACCTTTC